AAGTGGACCTAAAAAATTTTATATATTCCTAATTGAATACATAATTTTAATGCTTAAAAACTATAAAAGAATAAAAATAATATAAAAAATAATGAAAAATACATATTTTTGGCAGCTCGCCGACTTTTTCGTCGATGTCTGTAGGTGGACGGAAAAGTCGACGGACCAACTTTTCCTTAAAAAACTAACAATTTTTTTGAGTTTTATTAAAATGTTGACTCTTTAATTGTTTAAAATCTATACTACCATGTATAGTTCTTTAAAATCATAACACATGATGGAATTTAGTTTTTGTTGACTTTTCTCGTGATTCGTTCTCATTAAATTTGTTGAAAAGACAAATTTGTGGACAAAAAAAAATTATGCAAATAGTAAAAATTTTATATATTATAAATTGAATACATAAATTTAAGGCTTAGAAACCATGAAAGAATAAAAAAATGTAAAATAAGATTTTTTTTAAAAACATATGTTTTGGAGCTCGTCGACTTTGTCGTCGATGTCGGTAGGTCGGAAAAGTCGATGGAAAAACGTTTCCTTAAAAAATTGTAGTTTTTAACTTTTATTAAAATGTTGACACTTTGATTGCTTAAAGTCTATACTACGAGATATAGTTCTTGAATATCATAACACATAATGGAGTTACAGGGTCGAGTACATATATCCGATTTGGAAAAATTAGCGTTCATACCCAAATCTTTGGGCCCATTGTCGATTCTACCCTAATGATTTTCGGTTAGCCAATTTTGTCCTTACTGTTTGAAATTTTTGTCAATTCCGCCCAATTGGCGCAATTTTCGTTAATCTTAATGGATTTCCTTTAGTTTTTAACCAAAAACACCTAGATAGTTTCAAAAAATTGAAAAAATAACTCTAAAAAATATAAAATAAAAAAATCCCTTTTATTCATTTTTTATATTTATTATTTCTTTTTATTACTTTTCATAACCATCAAAATATATTATATGATCTTTAAGAAAAAAATTATTTATTTTCAAAATCTATTTTTCATGTGCAACACATGTGATTTGGGTTGATGGTAATTTTGTTATTTTAAATTTTAAAATTTTAATTTTTTTTCGTCTATTTTTGAGATTCTTTTTCTTATATTCCCTTACTTGTATATATTGATACTAGAATAATTATTAGATTTTAATAATTAATTTACCATTTTATTTAATAGATTATAAAAACTTTAAACATAAAGAAAATGAGGAAGAAAAACTTAAGTTGAAATAAACGTGAAAATTAATAGTTTATCATTCTAAACAAAAAGCAAAAAAACTGCAAAGACAAGTCATTTCTCCTTAACTTCCTTATTTCATAGGTAAGTTACGAAACATAAATTTACTTGATCTAACCTAAAATGATTATTTTGTTCTTTGTAATAAAAATAATGTAAAATCAGGTAGTATAATTTAGTAATTATTTTGCTAAAAAATTCATGTATTTATCTTTTTCCATGAAATTCAATAATTGCTTATATAGTTTAGCAATCGCTAGTCGGCAAAAAGAAATTATTAAAAAAGAATAAAAATAGTATTAACTAAATTTACAGAAATGCATCATTGTGGACTAATTAAAGTAGCACCTTTTCATGTTTCAAATGATTGTCTAATTTTTATATTATCCCTTTTACCCTATTAAAGCAGAATACAGAATGTTGATGTGGCAACTTCTTATTAAAACTTTTTGGCTCCAAATGCACCATATTGCATTGACCATTCTGCCACGTGTCATCCCCTTTTTAAAAGAAAAAAAAAATCTTATCCCGATAAATAAAGATACTTTACAAAAATAACTATACAATTTTAACTCCTAACATTTATCATTTATCAATCAAATTAAAATAACATTTAAATTTGTCTATAAACTTATCCCTTTTATTACTCCACATTCTTTTGTATGATTTTTACATCGTTGTACTTTTTAATATTTTTTTACTTTGGCAAATGATTTTTTATTTTTATTTTTATTTTTGACTAAAAAAAGGAAAAAAAAAAACCAAATGTGTAGCTATTTTATTTTTTCCAAATCAAGAATTTATTTATCTGTAACACAAAATTAAAGTAGAGGGGCGCCCGGGCATCTGCCTGGGCCAAGCATCTAGTTTTTCTTATAACAAAAAAAATATTTATTTTAGGTTAGATTAAGTAAAATTTATGTTTCGTAAAGAAGTCAAGGAGGAAAAACTTGTCTTTGCAGTTTTTTTTAAAGATTTTTTTTTGATTTTTGTTTAGAATGATAAAGTATCATTTTTCATGTTTATTTCAACTTGATTTTTTCTTCCTCATTTCCTTTATGTTAATTTTTTATAATCTATGAAATAAAAAGTAAATTAATTATTAAAATTTAATAATTATACTAGTATCAATATATACAAGTCAGGAAATATAAGAAAAATAACAAATAAAAAATAAATTAAAATTTTAAAAATTTAAAATTACAAAATTACCCCTCATGCGAAATCACATGTGTTGCACATGAAAAATAGATTTTAAAAATAAATAACTATTTTCAAAAGATCATATCGTATATTTTGATGGTTACAAAAAGTAATAAAGAGAAATTAAATGAAATAAAAAAATGAATAAAAAAAGACTATTTTGTTATTTTTATAATTTTCTGAAACTATCGGAGTATTTTTGGTTAAAAAAAACGGAAATCCGTAAAGATTAACAGAAATTGGGCCAATTGGGCGGAATTGACAAAAATTTCAAACAGTAAAGATAAAATTGGCTAACCGAAAATTATTAAATTAGAATTGACGATGAGCCCAAATTTTTGGGTATGAACGCTAATTTTCCGGCAAGAATCCACATACAACAATTAAATCAACTCTGTTTTCCTTTTCAGTCTGATTTTGTTTGATTTGCTCGATTGAAGGTGAATCGAGCTTTAACCGTCCTCTACCATGGCGGAAATAAAAGGTGAAAATCTCTGCCACTTCAGAATTCTCTTTGCTGCTGTTTCAATTTTCCTTTTTGAATTCCCATTATATACATTTTCGCTTGATTGATTACTTTGCTTGGTGTTGCTTGTATTATTGAAGCCGGGAGCAATGCACTTTTACCGTTGGTCTGAAAAGGGATTCACAACGCTGGGTTATGTTTTCAGCAACGATGGGGTTGTGGTAGCCATTGATCATTCAAGGATGGAAGGAGCATCTGATACAAACCCCAAAAACGTTGTTGTGCTCAACTCCCACCTGCTTGCTGCCTTTTCTGGTGGGAACGCCTGTTCGCGAAGCTATTTGCTGAATGATCTGCCAAAGAAGGTACTTTTTGCTGTGAACACTATGTTAGAAACGGTTTACTGGCAATTCTTGCGGAGTTGGTATGTATTTTTGTGCCATGACTATGAACTTAAGGTGAGGAGAAAAGCTTCAGCTGAAGAAGCATCGAAGTGGCTCGCTGAGTTTCTGTCCATTTATCCTGACAGCGATGACAGATTCTCACTTGGAGTACCGATCGGATTGGAATGACCACTGCAAACTTGTAATTTATACAAACGTGGAAAACCACAGCTATCTATCCTAAATATGCCCATTTCAACAAGTTTCCTGAATGAGATTGTAAATGTTGTTGTATGATTTCAACAAGTTTTATTCTTTCGTGTGAGATTCTCTGTTTGCTTTCATTTTCTTTAGAAGAGAATCAAGTATTTGCAGGGCAACAGGGCTATCGTGGTTAATGAACCCGGTGTTACCAGGGATGGGGTAGAGATGTTTAGTTAATTTGGACTGAAAACGTGTATTTACCCCTCAAGGAATTAAAAGTAAAAAATGCATGGTTGAAGGAAGACTTCAACGTAGTGTAAAAACGAAGAATTTGGACTAGACCAGTCAATCATCTGGAAAGGGTCTTGTATTTGGTCTTTCCTTTCTGAGAGCAGTCAATCATTTGGATTAATCTTTCCTTTTAACTCTCTTTATCCTCTCAATTAAGCTCAACATCTTCCAGTTAATTTTGTCACTGGACTTTTGCTAACTCAATTACAATAATCTTGTTTCTAGAGTTAAAATTTTGTAAAACAGTTCCATATTAACAATAATAATAAAAAAAAGCTTATATATATGAAGATAACAAAGAAACATCATTGCTGATTCTCCAAGGGCTGGCTACTTACGAATGCTTATAAGAATTTACATCAATAAATCCCAGAACTGCTTACAAGACTTTATATCATTCCACTGAGCCAAAACTAATCATAATTCACTCTCTTCAAAAAAAAGGTGAGGAAATCTTCATAGTTCTTGCTTTTTATATTATTATTATATAAAAACCTCAATTCTATTGTATACTGTATTAAAAACAAGGAAAAAACCAAATTAAACAACGAATTAATTATGTTCATGTCACCAACTCACACCATTAACCATTTAATCATCAAAAGAAATTGTAACATTATTCAATAGGTTAACAGAAAACAAAAAACAGGACATACATTTATGTTTGGTGTCATAGTGGTTAGAAGTTTTTTTTTTTTACAAAATAATTTTGGAACGGAAGGAGTAATTATTAGTTATTACTAATATAGACCGATTGTGTATATAAACGGTAGTAATTATATTCCTTATATATTACTATGAAATTTCTTTTTCCAAGTAGATTTATGGGGAAATGACTTCACAAATTCCTTTTTGTGACCAAAAAAGAAAGAAGAAATTATACTCCGCGTTGCTGCGCTGACCGAGAGTATATATATAACTTTCAAATCAAAGCGGAAAAGAAGTTAAAAAATAAAAATAACAACTAAAAAAACCCAAACGGAATCCGGAAAAGAACACATTTCTTGGTGGCGCCTTCCTCCGCCCCGCCGGAAAAGTCAACCAGAGGAAATCAAAGTTCAAAGAGGGAAGAAGTTTTAAAATCTCTTACTTAAAAGGGGCCTTTGTTGCCGAAGAATTGATTGATCGCGTTTCTCTTCTCCAATTCTTGGAAAATTCGATTCGGTTCAATTCATAGCTAGCCAGCGGGGTTGATAGCTGAGTCAGAGAAATGGCGGCGTCAAACAGTCAGTTACTGCCGTTGACAGCGACCGATACGCCACCCAAGGCGGCGGCGGAGGAGAAAATCTTCAAAGGATCTGTCATGACTAAGCGCGGAGCCTACGCTGCTATATCTTACATGGCCTGTGCTGGTACTCTCCGACATTTCGCCATTTCTTTTTGCATTTTCGTTCAATTTAGATGTTTCGTGAGCGTCGTATGTTCTGTACAAAAATTCGTTCGTTTATCCAATATAATGCTGTGTCATGATGCCGAGCTATGCATCTTTGCCTTATTTCCTGTAAATTTGGAGCTCGAGGTTTGAGTGATGTTTTTTAAGGAATAATGTGCATAGAAAGATTTTTGCTGGATCGCAAAGTTGTCCTGTCATCTCGCTCAAGTATTGTTAATGAAATTTACAGAGATGTAAATGTTTAGAATTAATTGTGAAGGCAGTTAAACCAAATAAAATTAGTAATTGGATACAGGAGGTGGGATAAGCTATGAAAGAAGTGATGGGAGAGTGGTTTAGGCCTTTTGGACATCGTATAGAGACAGATTCATTAGCTGAAATAAAATGGGGAAGGGGACAACCGTAAATGAACTAGAAAGAAACTATGAAAAATTAGGTATATAATTCAAACCAGACGAGAAAATAGTTTTTGATCGAAGATGATGGCTGCGTATGATCAACCTAACGGACCTAATTTAGCGGTACAACGACTTTGTTGTTGTTCTTTCCTTTTCTATAACTATCCATCATGTGACTTTTGTCTAAAATGTTATTCTCAGATGCAAATATAGGTTATGTTACTGGACACCTCATCATTTCATCAAATATACTTTTTCTTTTTCAGTGCTCTTAGTGTTGTTCAACAAAGCAGCTCTTTCTTCATACAACTTCCCATGCGCCAATGTTATCACGCTTTGTCAGGTATTTATGATTTTTCACTACGGTCTTCCAAGCAATTATGTTCTCCGTTGCAATTTCTTAAGGTTTCCACTTCATTTACCTGCTGACGTCATAATTTGAATCTTAGTCAAACTTTCTTCCTCTATTTAGCATGGTCCCTTTTAGTTGGTAGTCAGAAACTCAGAATTACAGAGAATTAAAAAGTTTTGAGAGATTGTGGATCTGGTGCAGATGATATGTTCGTGCAGTTTCCTGTATGCGTTACGCCGAGGGAAACTTATTTCATTTTACGCGAATGAATCCCCTTCAGTAGCCGATAATTTCAAAACCTTTGTACCTTTAAGGACACTAATTGATACCTCACCGCTTGCTTTGACATATCTGCTTTACATGGTAAACATTCTTCTAAATGTTTCCTTGAATGGTTTTACGTTTAGATGCTTATAGTAACAGTAATATTTCTGTGATTGGCGCCTTGTTGACAAAAGCTAGCTAGTATGGAGTCTGTCCGAGGAGTGAATGTTCCCATGTACACAACTCTACGGAGGACCACTGTGGTGTTTACAATGATTGTGGAGTATATCCTGGCGAGGCAGAAGTATACCCCTCCAATTATTGGAAGGTAAGCACCTTTTTCTGCCTAGTATCTCACTCTTTTATCTTGAAATTTTCTCTCTTCATCTGAAATTATGTTGCTGTTAGTTCTGCTGAAACTCTTTGCTACAACATGCCAAATTTGTTTTTGTAATTTTCAATTGGTGCTTTTTGTAAGATCAAAATTTAAAGTTTTCTATAAATACCAGACAAATTATTATATCTTTGTCTTCGCATGTCTCTATCGTCATTTTCTGGTGTGTTATAAGAAAGTGAAAGAATTTATTGAAATCTGGTTCATTTTTCTGCATTTTCTTCTTTGCTCCCAGGAGTCGTTAGTCTTCTGTTTCTTGTCCTTGGAAAATGTTCTGTGATTTAATCTTGGTAATCTTTCTGATCAGCTTTATAGAGTTCTTCAACTGCCCTTCCTGATTAAACGCCGAAGTATGAGCTATATGATCTATAGAATGAGGCTTCTCTCAGTAGATTTTTGAGATTTTGGTGCTTACATTTGGACCTGGACATCAGGATCATGTCTTGTGGTGAAATTGTAATTATGTGTCTGACTTTGCACTATCTTTCAATTAGTGGATGTAACATTATTACATTGCAATGCTACTTTTTTGTATATCAAAAAGAATAATCGAGGTTTTGTCAGTGTGGCATTGATCGTATTTGGTGCATTTGTTGCGGGAGCTCGAGACCTTTCCTTTGACTCCTATGGCTACCTGGTTGTATTCCTCTCCAACATCTCTACTGCAATATACCTAGCAACCATAGCACGTATTGGTAGGACCTCCTTTTCTGCTTCAAGTTTTTTATCTTTTGAACTTAAGTTTCTCTGCCTGGCTAAGTTTTGATTGGTGCAGGAAAATCTAGTGGCCTCAACAGTTTTGGTCTTATGTGGTGTAATGGTGAGCAGAGGCATTCTCTCTTTTTCTCCTTTATACCTGTCCTCTGTATAATTGGTTTACTTGTAAAAGCTCATCTTGTGAAATTGCAACCTTTTTTCCCTTTCCGTTGGCAGGTATTCTTTGTGGGCCAGTATTATTGATATGGACATTCCTTCGAGGAGACCTGGAGATGACCATGAATTTTCCATATCTGCTTTCTCCTGGATTCCTGGTAACTTTTTGGCTGCTGACTGACTCTTCTTGGATCTGTATTGAGAAAACTTCAATCATGCATGTGTGGGGATATCTCGCCATTATCAGTGTTTTCTGCAATATCAGTAGTGGGTAGCAATTTTCTTCAGTGCTTTGACTTTTGTGTGATAGATATTAAATACTAACCAGAAACTGCCTTGGGAGTTAATGTTATACTAGCTTCAACCTTTTGGATTTGGGGTACTTGTCAACCTACGTAGACATGTATGTGTGCACGTGTGATTGCATGTGCATGTGTCTCAGCCTCTGGTAGAATGTTTCTTTAGGGAGAGAGCTTCATTGCTCGTTTATTTTTTTCGACTTGAATTCATGTTACTGGAATATACACTAATGATTATGTGCTCAGAATGTCGTTGCATGTAGTTCACCCTTTTCTGATTCTTCCTGAATGAATTGTTTGCAGGATCTACCCTTCGATAAGCCTTAATTTGAATCTGTGTACCGCGAAATGATTATCATTTGTCTTTTGCTATTATTTAACTGTTGCCAGTGACCTGCAGATCCTGTTTTTTAGTTCTAACTTCTCTTCCTGAAAAAATGGCCACAGGTTGTGCTGCTTCTATCTTGCATACTTGCTTTCTTCTTGAACTACAGCGTTTTCCTGAACACCACTCTCAATTCAGCACTGACCCAGACAATCTGTGGCAATATGAAGGTTTGTTACCAGTATCTTTTTCAATTGTGAAAAAAAAGGGGCGTCTCGAGAAATTGTGGAAATAGGTTTGTAATGTTTGTTATTGATGTTAATGTTGACTATGCTGCTACGATAGGACCTTTTCACCATTACTCTGGGATGGATAATTTTTGGTGGGCTTCCTTTCGACATTGTGAGTACATCCACTCTCAATACCTATCTTTAATATTTTCTATGCGCATGTGTGGGTCCCTTATTCATGTTCTCAATTTAGATGTATAAATTTTATCCTGATGGTTTGTCCTTGCTACAGTTGAATGTTCTTGGACAGCTTCTTGGATTCTTTGGGTCTGGTTTATACGCATACTATAAGCTCATTGGGAAGTAACATCAAACTGTAGATGATTGACTGACTTTTTTTCGGAACTGAAGATATATTTTATCGCGGTCTCCGGTTTTGGTATTGGCCATAACAAGCTTTGCTGATAAGCATTTAATTGTACTGTAAAGGAGCCCTTATACACACACCCGGGAAGTTCCCAAACCGCAGAAAAAGCTCTAGATAGTTACCGAATGTGGATTCATACTTGTTACGGGCGGGAGTAAAGTAAGCTAAAACGAAGAGAAGCATCAATCAATAGTTGTAGTTTCTTTTTTCTTTCTCTCTTTTGCTTTTCAGTACAACTATAGTTGTAAATTTCTTCTATTGAATGAGCAAACACAAATTTTCTTTCCTTCTCTGCTTTTTCTCGAAGTGTATATAGGAACCTCTTATTGGTCGCCAAATTTGAAATGTAATGAACACCCTAAATGCATGGAAGAGATTAGAGGATGTGATTGCGATATTTGGAAATGAGTAGTCGTGACTCGTGACTCAAGCTATGTTCGTTCTTTGAATTAGTGATGATTTTATGTGGATTGTATGTATATCTGGGAATGTACTCCAGTTGTGTATGTTTCAGTTTCTCTTTTTCTTTCTTTTTCTTTTTTTTTTCTTTTTTTGAAAATGACTTACAGTTTCTATTATTGCACAGAAAAACGTTTACTTTTTTTTTTTTTTTTTGGAAAAATCAATTCCGTACTTTCGAATTACAATCGAGATGGTACATTACATGCATCTTCACGAGTCAATCTAACCCTATCTCTACTAACCTTTTGTACATTAGAGAGTGCTAAACACTTTATCTAAAATATCACTTTCTAAATCCCCATACAATAGTATACCTATTCAATTCGTGAGCACAAGTATATTTCTAGTATTACCTCTATTTCTTTTATCTGTTGTTGTACGATAAACCTAACATTTTTTTTTTATATCTGTCACGTTTCATTTTAAATATAATATCAAATACAATTTTTTCAATTTTATCTTTATTTCTCTCTACTATAATAAAACATACTATTAAAAACAACTACCTATTTTTTACTTTAATTTCAAAATTTTGTATGGTCCAAATACTTTTAATTATGGGCAAGATAGATAATACACTTGAAAATTAAAATCTCAATAATTATTTTCTTGAAATCTGTGCAAAAGCTAAAGTGACGGATTAAAAAATAAATGTAGTAATTATTTTTTCTTGCAAATTCAAAGAAATATTAGGACCTTATAATGATATTCTCTTATTTTTTTCTTGCAAATTTAAAGAAATATTAGGACCTTATAATAATATTCCAAAGGACGTGGAATTTTCAGGCTGTAATTCGATTCGCATAATGTAAAGATTAGGGAGAGTAAATGCGAAAAATGGTGTTGATTTGGCATTGGTGATTAGTAGCCGTTGAAGGAAGTAACAAAACAGCCATCAAATTGAGTTAAAAAGGGTGAAATCTCCCCTTCCTGGACCTTCTTCTTCTCTCTCTCTCTGTTTCTCTCCCTCCCAAAAAAAAAAAAAAAGGAAGGGAGAGATTCAGAGAGAAGCCGAAGCAATTCCGATTCCCTGAAGAAAAAAGAAATCACCCAAAAACCAAAAATCCCTCTCTAATAAAGCCGAAAACCCAAACCCTAAGTCTTGCTCAAAGAATCCCTTAAAACAGAGAGAAGCAGTTTTATTTTTTGCATATATATATGGTCTGATTCATCATTCATTGTGTTTTGTTTCCTTCCTCCGAATGCAAATGATGCATTTGTTGGAGCAGCAGCCGCTGGGAAATGGAGATTTTGTTATGCCTAGGAGATCATTCCAGAAGAAGAAGCTCAAGAAAAATGGGTCGTTGCTCTCGTTACCGTCATCAACGTCATCGTCATTGTTGTTGATTGTTGATTCTTTTTCCAGGAAGAGCTTCTCTTACGATAAGCTTCCTCAGGAGCCTCTCAAACTCACTGTTATCAAGCTCGATGGAACCTCTTTCGGTACGTTTTTTCCTCTTAATTTTTTTTCCCTTGGGAAGAAAGAGTTTTGGGTGTGGAATTTTCGGTGGGTTTTTGTTGAATTGGTTCCTTTTTTGGGGGCTTGTTTTCCTTGTTTGTAGAAATTGAAGTGGTGAAAACGGGGAACCTGGGGTTGCTGAAGCGGGCGGTGGAGGCGGTGTTCAGTCATTTGCCTAAAACTGGGCCGAGGAAGGTCTCATGGTATGCACGCTTTGTGGTTGAATTAATTGTTTCCCTATTATTACTCGTGGGAAAAGGGTTTCTGTGTTTTTTTATCCTCGTAGTAATATAGTTTCCCCAGCTTCTGCATTTCTCATTATGGGTTTATTGGTAAAACAAATGCTTGTGTAGTTTGTACTTTCTCAATTGGAGTGTAGAGATTGCACTTTAGTGTAATGCAGGCTGTTCTAATTGATTCATTTCCCATGTGATTCTTGTGGCTTATTTATGTGTTTCCATTCAATTTAGGCCCTTCGTTTGGGGGCATTTTTGCCTGTGCTATGATGGCAAGAAGCTACTCAATGATACTGACGAGATCGCGAGTTACGGGATCCAGGATGGCGACAAGGTATCTCTCTCATTAAATTGAAAATTCGTGCATAATATATAATTTTGGGGCCTTAATAACAATTGGAAGTTAAAAATGGCGTAGCTGACCCTACGTAGTGGGATAAGGGCTTGTTGTTGTGTCGAAAAATTGCATAAACGTTTTTGAAATTCTTGAAAACAGAACCGATGCTTGTATTCTGTTTAGTCCACTTGGTCTGCTTGTTTAGTCCTGAATGAAAGTCCTAAAACTTTAACTCATTTTCTTCATGTTGTGTTATTCTGTTGGCACTTGCGTACTTGTTAAATGTGAAATTGGAATTTGCAGCTTCACTTTATCCGGCATGTTTCAACTACCTATAATTTGGCGAAGGAAAGATCAGAAGAGGAGGATGTGGAGTTTGATGAACCTCCTATGTGAGTTTTCTTATTATTTCTGGGCTTTATTTCTGTTATGACATGAATCCTGAATGCAACTGGTTTTGAAGTTGATAATTAAGTACTATGGAGTCGAGGTTGCTTTTCATTGAAATGGTAAATTTCTGATCATCAGAAGTTTTCAAGTAGGTAGGTGTTCCCTGAAATGATGTTAATCTAGAATAATTTTTCCTATTTGAAGATACTTGTATTGATCGACTTTAGAAACCCCTTACATCAACATATTAACTTTGTATTCATAGGAAATCATTTTATATCCTGCTATCTCAGATGTTCTGTTCCTTCCTAATCTTTGTAAATGCTGCTTACCTAGGTCCAAAGAAACTGAATTACCTCTTTGCTCAAACTGAAGTTGAAATAGTAGTTCTTTGCTCGAAAAGGGCAACTGATTTGATCCAGTAGTCTTTCTATTCTTGCTCTTAGTGGCCTGACCTTCTCCGGTACCATACGTGCTGGAGCTTCTATGTGTTAGGCTGCCCTTTTTGTGTTTTCTTGTTATTTTGAGTGTTGGTGCTTCACCAAATACCACCAAAACATGCACTATATTTTGAAACATATCCATGTTGAGAAATGAACCATGTGTTGCCAAATCGTCATGTAGATTAGATGCCTGGGAAGACAAGTATCTGCAATGGCCAAAGGTTGATAGGTACAAATACACTCAAAGGGACATAGAGAGTCAGCAAGATGTTTATCAAGTTGACAGCGAGGATAGCATGCAGCATTCAGCAACCAATTGTCGATACAACTTAGTCGATCTGTTTCGTGGGTGGTTCTCATATCGTAAGCTGCCAACCTCAGATGTGAGAACAGATGAACACAACAGTTACCCGTCCAGGCTTTCCTTCAGTAGTAGGCTAGGAAGTTTCAAAGATGTAGTAATTTACACTGGCTAATATGATCTCGAGAGAATATCTTTGAGAACAGAGTAATCAATGAATGGGGCTCCAGTCCGCGACATGTCCATTGTCCCACCAGAAGATAGGAAGGAAGCTGTCTCGAGAAGAGTTTCATTGATATCTAGAATCTCTCATTCTCTGTGATGATTGATGGTCAACATTTGCGGAGTAAGGATAATTTGAATGCTTTTCCCGTCACCTCAGGATCTGGTGCTTCTCTTAATTCGGTGATGTCGCATTTCATCCATGGATGGGAGCAGCAGCTTGTAGAAAGCAGCTACTTTTGATTAGTACAGTATAGAACGACGCATGGAACTATAACTTTCGTGCTTTCGCGATTTGTAGTTTGCTTCTTGCATAGGGTAAAATTTGCCAATTCGGCCTTTTAGAGACCTCTCTTTTGCTTTTTGTTCTTTGTAAAGTGGAATATATAATATATACATACACCTTTTCAATCTGAAGAAACTAGCCTTTTCACTGTGAAATCAAAATGGTTAAGAGGGAGGGAAAGCGCACGTGAGTAACACGTGCAATTGATTTTTTCTCCATCACTGAAGAACTCAAGAACCCCAAAAAATTGTGTGGTTTGGAATAAGATAGCCTTTGTGAGATATGGAAAAATCCAGTCTTTCCAATCAAAAAAAAAAAAAAAAAACTGAAAAATAAACAAAGAAAAAACCAAAACTCTCCAAAAAAGGAGAAGAAGAGAGAGCAAACTCAGGAAAGGCAAATCAGCACAAGAAGAAGAAGAAGAAAGAAAGATTTGCATTTTGCAGGAAGCCAGCCATGGCCAACGTGATCATGGCCTCCTCCCCCAAAACCCTAATCACCTCCTCAGCATCTCCAACCCCAAAACCCAAATTCAATGCGCCCCAACTTTCATTACCTAAACTAGCCATGCCCCAATTCGCCAAACCCCAACAACTTGTCTCTATCTCCACCTCCATTTCAGCCATTGTTGCTGCCTCACTCTCCATGGCTCCTCCTTCTTTAGCTGCAGAGATTGAAAAGGCTGCTCTTTTTGACTTTGATGCCACTCTCCCAATCATGGCCGCCGAGTTCTTGATTCTCATGGTGGCCCTTGACAAAATCTACTACAGCCCGTTAGGGAAATTCATGGATGAAAGGGATGCAGCCATTAAAGAGAAGCTTAGCAGCGTGAAGGATACTTCTGCTGAAGTTAAACAGCTTGAAGAACAAGCTGCAGCAGTTATGAAGGCAGCCAGAGCTGAGATTTCTGCTGCCTTGAACAAGATGAAGAAGGAGACTCAGCTTGAGGTTGAGCAGAAAATTGCTGAAGGTAGGAAGAAAGTTGAAGCTGAATTGCAGGAGGCCTTGGCTAATCTGGAGAAGCAAAAAGAGGAGACCATTGTGGCTCTTGATGCCCAGATTGACGCTCTTAGTAACGAGATCGTTAAAAAGGTTCTCCCTGTTTCTTGAGGGGGTGAATATATGATCAATTTTTACTTTCTGTGAAAAAAAAAACATGTAATCTTGGTTTGTATCTAGCAGCTGTAATTCAAAATTGAGGTTATAAAGATTGTGACTTGACTCATAGTTATCAATTCTCATTGTGTTCCGGTTTTATGCATACAAATTTTTGAAGTATGTCTCATTTCCTTGTGGCGCTTTAGAGAACTCTTGATTACTATTCTCTTGGGTGCTTTTGTTAATTTAGATTCTTTAGTCCATTTTACATTTCTTCGTATATTAGAATTGGTTATGGAGGGCATTAAGTTATTGGAGCACTGATACTTAGAGTTTTAGTCATAATTCTGCGGATCAAATTGATATAACCTGTTAGATGAGTGCCGTAGTACATTCCAATGCCATATGTATCCGGAATGGATTTAAAAACTAGGATGTATGCTGTCAAATGTATTCTGCATTGATCAGAAGGCTGGCTTCTTGTAAACAGAAGAGATGTACATGAAATTCTTGTGGCATTATGGCTGGCTTCTTCTAGATAAGAGGCAGCTGGATGGCCTGGTAATTAGTGTGTGTATGTGTGTTAGTTTATCCATGTGAATGATATGATTATTATCAAGTTTGTTCAACTGCTTCGTCTTCTTGAATAGGTCATTATGGGAGGATTACTGTGGATGGTAGTATTGTGTTGTTTAGGAGTATGTTGGTCTCTTGTATGTTAAATCAGCTCTTAGCCTTGATTCTAGACAAAGCAAAATATCTAGGACGGCTTGGACTTGAAATCCAGTGACTGCTTTACACTCTCTCTCTCTCTCTCGAGCAGTGGCCTCTCTCAATCTGATTAGGATTGTTACCCCCAACAGAAAACTCTCAACAATGTCTTTGCAGTTAATACAAGTTGTTGCTCAACCCATTAGCCTCAGTTCACTCTATTCTACTGTGAGATCATGGATTCAAATAAGGGAATTTGAAGCTACCCACTTTTGCACTAAAAAAACTTCTGGGAGATCCTTTCAAGTTTTAACAGCATGGAAAGCTCAAAGAAATGGGAATTAGAGCCCATCAATGCTGGGTGCTACAGATTCCAATGAGGTAACGTAAGCACTATGCTCGGCCCCTGAAATTGTTGTTGATTCATTTAGGATTAAGTGCTATTTGTGAATTTTGAACCCAGTTTCCTGATCCTTAGCTTCTAAGTTGACTTGAAGCTTTGCAGGTAAAGCTTTTAGCCTTTTAACTTTCATATTTTGAATTTTGTTAGTACTGATGGCGAAGGTCGGAACTTTCTATCGAGTTTGTTTGGGATGGCTCTAAGTATTAGCTATCTGGAAGGTCCGGTGGGATGGCCACATTTGTCGGTGTTTGATTTTGTGGCATTGTTTCCCTGTGGAAGAAAGTTCTTATATACACGAGGATTTTTCGGTTCAAACTGAATCTTGTATGATGCCTTTAAGTTGCTCACTGCGTTAATTGAATCTATCATTCTGCAAGAAAGTGCTGCATGTCAACATGGAAATCAGATAGCATTTTGCAATGGAAAACGATTTCGCATGAATTCTGGGCTAAGAGAGATTCTGTCCACTGTACATCATTATTCTATGCATGATCGTTTTGGCTGGATATGAATAGGAGACTGTCTATCACTCAAAGAGAAATAGAAGTTTATTTCCACAATCCAAACACATTACATTGCTCCATCTTACAAAGTACAAATCTATAATTAAATATTTTGTGGTAATTTTAGCATCAAAGCCAGAAAATTTTGGTTAAGGGTAAAGGGCTATTTCAAATAGCAAGTTACACGTGAAGAGTCTTTCCTACCTGCAATTTGTAGAATACAAAGCCTAAGTTAGTCTCATTTTCTATATCACTTTTGTGTTATGGGACATAATCTACAGTCTATATACGATATACCATTCCCACTACGGGGAGGGAAAAAAAATGAATGAATTCTATATCTCTGCTCTGAAATCAGCACCATCTACAACGGAAGAAAGTGCCGGGGCAAGAGGAGCAAAATCCCCCAAGCCCACTTGCCTCCTCGAGTCATGTTGACTACTCGACTGTTGAGTGTCTTAACAGGAGCCATCATCTCCATAAATCCAGCAAACTAACCAAAATGCATCCCCGTTGATCTATACGAACTTGAGAGATTTGGCAGCTTCATAGTTGCAATAACGCCAGCTGCAAGGGCAGCCATTGATGCCAAAACAAATGCTGGTATGTTTCCTCCACCAAATAAGGCATCCCATGGACCCGCACCAAGGGACACGATCATCTAGAAGAACCAATTGAAAATAAGAAATTAAGATTCAACAGCGTGCACTTATCAGATGCAGAATAATCAGTCAGACCAATTTGAGTTGCAATGAATAGAAGTATTCCACGGATTCACATTTATTTCCAATATAAATTAGAAGAGGATAATCATGTGATTAAAAGTACCTGCGGTACAACAATTGCTAGGTTCAGAACTCCAATGGCTAAGCCTGGTCACATACAAAAAGGGCACAAATCACAGGGTTAAATGATCATTTTACAGGAAGAGAACAAACACATCGAAGATGACTCCAGTAAATACCTTGGCCACCTCCGGTATCAGCAGTTAACTCCGCTGTGACTGAGAAAGGAACACTGTAGGTGACCTGCAATCCAAGTAAACAACATTGAGAAAGCTAAAAGTATTCAGGGTACAGGGACCAGATAGAAAAATTAACTTCCTTGGGAGGTATTTGCAGTACTTCAATGGAAGTATCAAAACCTGGCATGCACTTACAGCTAGAGGCAAGCCAAGAAGACAGAAAACAATCAAGGAGGCAATCTTGGTTGCTGCATTCGCCCCAACCACATGTTCAACCCCTTCTGATCCTCGGAGAGAGACTAAACTAATGATAGCAGTGCCTGCCATGCAGGCGCAGACCATGAAATTGCTTGTTGCCCAGACTACTCTGGCTCCCAACCACTTACACATGGGTTCAATTAAGAAGGAACCAATCCCTAGAACAACCTGAAAAACATAACATTTCACAAACATATTTATATAACAGGTAGTATGAAGTTCCAATGACATGTTCAGGGCTGAACTATGGTTCCCAGAATGCATAAAAGTACAAACACTAAATTTCGAGTTCTTACAGAATTCAATAGCAAACCAAAAGCACCTTCTCTGACACCTTGATCATAAGCTTTTGCTTCTGATACATCTCCAGTGGGATCACCGTGGTAAACTTCTCTTCCCATCCAATCAGTGTCAAATAGGAAAAATGGAAACCAGGATAACTGAATGGAAGAGTAGTTGCAAGGTACAGACTTAGATAACAATCAAAAAAGAAGAAAATGGCCATCTGCTTACAGGCAGTGGAACTGATAAACTGATCATTTTGAAAAACTTACCCAGGTTAAAGCCATTACAATTAGCACTGAATGCATGGCTGGAGGTAATTTCCGCATACTAGTCAATAAATGAACTAGAACAGCTCCAGGGCTATCAGTGAAACTTTCAATTTCATCCTCCTCAACCTTTTGTTCGTCATTTCTTGAATCATGATTATCCTTTAAGATATTATCCTTTGAGCCATCCATTTGCAGTTCCAGGGCTGAATGGTCAAAGTCAGTTTGCCGAGGATTCACCAATAGAGGAGCAGAATCTAAACTCCGAGGTTCTTTAGGCGCCAAAGGGATCTCTTTGGCGAAGTATAGCGTAACAAGTGTACATGAGATCAGGAACACCTAAAGAAGCCCAGAACATGTTCAGAATTACTTAATGCTGACTATGTCCATCTAGGCAACATCTAGAACAATCAACCAAAGCTGTATGCACACACATCAGAATAAACCAAGAGATACACCAATCTAAGAAGTTTCATGTAGAAGCTCTATCACCAAAGTCAGGCTGAAGGAGAAACCATATGATTATAAATGAAATATAATAAATGTTTCGGGCACTGTATCATATATTTTCAAATAATCTGGTCATTAACCTATATTCAGATGACCCCCAGGCATAATCTTGATGGCTAGCATCATTTTTACATGACTCATGACAACCAATATCCTTAAAACAAGGTGAAAACAATCTCATAGCCTCCAGGGAGATATCAAGTACAAGCACATTCTAAGTCGAGGTATCAAGTACAAGCACATTCTAAGTCTCTATCATATTCCCAATTCATTTTTAATTCCGACAAGGTGGATCAATTGTTGTTCTAATCCTAATGTTAACACATAAGCATATCAGCCAATCGTTGAAACATCATTGTTCTTTCTTTAACAAACTAAAAACAAATAAATAAATAGAACATTACCATTAGGGCTACAGTAAATAGACCAGCTAGCATAGTTTCTACATTTACCTATTTCTACTTTCTCCAGCATAAAAGAATCAAACATGATAAATTACTCTAATACAACCTAGGAACACTACAATTATGCCTTCCCTAGCGGTAGGTTCCTTTTCCTCTTTTTTCCCATTTTCTTTATGTAAGTTGCTGAAGGTAAGGTATCCTAATAAAACATCATAGATTTCTTGAAATGCAACTTGGGTAGTTTCTTGAAATACGACATCACAGATATTAAAGGTTTAATCTCAGGTTAAAAAAACTAAAGTTATCTAGCAATTGTGTCCACAGTATTTGTAGGTTGGTAACTCACCACAGCAACCAAGAATGCTGCTTTGAGGTTCCCACATGGTTCACAACAAGCTCTACTTAGCAGAAAGGGAAACCATCTGTACAGAACATAGAAGACTGTCAACATGTTGAACAACAAAATGAACCAACACACAGAACGATGTAGCAATAAGAACAAAGTTGCACAAGAGAAATAGAACTATTGCAAAAGCATGCAAGTCTAGCTATAGTTACCAAAAATTTCACCTGTGCCAATTTCCACTAGCTCCAGAAGAAAATCCTAGAATATTACCAACAGCCATCCATCCGCAAAATATCGCATTAGCTGAATTTCTTTGGTCAGGACCTACACATGTGAGAGAGAGCGAAAAAAAAAAAAAAAAAAAAAAGGAACTTAGACACATTTAAATGAAAACAGAATCAAAAGAAACACTTTCTGGGGAAGATAATGAATTATTTAATAGAAACAAGTTAAAAACCATGTTGCTGTTTCTCTCATCTCCCTCGCCCTTCACTCTTATGTGATTAACTTAAGAAAGTTAAAGGATTACCAGCTAGGTCAGCCAAAAGAGCTCGAGCTGGCCCCTGCAAATGATTAGATAAATTATAGAAGTTCCAAGAAATCATTACAAATATCTTTTGGCCATCGTCAATGACATTAGAAGCCTGTATCAAATGAGATTGCAAGCTTCTTACCTGCACAGTGTTGTTTGCAAGATCCAGCATCCAAAACCCCAATATAAACACTATAGCTGCCCTTGTACGAGTACCTTTGAATGTGCTGCATTTGCAGGAGTTAAAGACTTAACCTTCTAAATTGACTTGATAAAAATGGATAACCATAAACTGCAAGGGATACCTGCAATGTTCTTTTGTATCCCCTAAAAGGTATCCTATGTCTGCAGAAAACCCGATTAATATCACCTAAATTGCAAATTCCAGTTCAGTGGATTCAGAATAGCCAACAAGGAAAAAATGTCAATATAAGAGACTTTGTAACTCTTACAGCAAATGAAATCATGAGAGATCCAACCAAAATAAATGGCCGCCTCCTTCCATATTTTGATGTGCATTTGTCACTCCATATGCCGACACAAGGTTGAACCTGAAATTCAGAATTAAATCTGTGAATTGAAATTATGGTGCCTTGGGTATGCATAATCAGCAAAAAGTCGAGACTCCCTCATTTCAACTGCATAATCAACATCAGTATATCAAAGAGCTTTTTATTACGATAAATATGTGAATGTAATAAGTCTGTGATCATTTAATAACGCTACAACAACAATTAAAACCCACGAAGCAGGGCAAGCTATCTGGACCATATCTTGCACTAGAGATCAGAACACAAGTTACCATCTAGATATAAATACATCATGTCTTTCTTAAGAGTTTCTTTCTGTTCTTTTTCTGATCCATGGACATTTAAAAGTGTAAAAGTTTCTTTCTGTTCTTCTCCCGATCCTTCCTTGTACATTTCTGTCTGTTCTCTTTTAGTTTGAGTTAATAATCTTCCATTCTCCACACACCATACGCAGACATTTAAAGATCCGTGTGCACATGTCTAAACCACCTGAAGTATCCATTTCCTCATCTGCTTGGGTTACAACACATTCTTTCTAATGCATTAGTCACTGATCCATGTAGTCTAATGTGTCTTCTCATCCATATCAAATTACAATTTTTTGCAACCCTCATTTCTGGTCCATTAATGTAGCACAGTTGCCTAACCCACTGATTTGTAAACCATCAATAGTCTCATAGCTGTGTAACAAAATTTACTTTCAATTTACCATACTTTCTGGAGGACAAACTTCAGCATTTTTTCCATTCTACTTGAAGTCTATGAATAAAGCTTCCATTAATCACCCATTCTCTTACAACAGATCGTTATTTTCAAATGCACTCAGTTCAATTACTAGCATATTGTAATTGATATGATTACTATAGTGACACCCTAGAGTTTTAAATTTAACGTCGATCATCTTATTGACTAATATTTATATCATATATCTTTCAAGAATAACTTCCTGCAAATGCTTCCTAATCTCGTCGAGTCAATAAAAATGCAACGCACTTTGAATCAAGCATTTTCAGAAATAGTATCCAATAACTTGATTCCATAAACTGTTCATGGAAACGAACAAGCGAGGTTTTGATGAAAACAGGCACATGGCCGACACATTAGGATGAGCAGAGAACCTTGAAATTGTGTAATTGTTGAAAACACAATCACATGAAGCATGATCAAGACTTAAAATACTGTAGAGTCCATTTGCTTGTTCACCCATGTATTAATATACACTAAATTTTGTTCAAGGTAATTGTAGAAAATCAAAGATGAAATATAGGCAGTCACAAGTCTGGAGGAAATCTCCAAACTAGTTATAGCCAAGCAAAGATCAGATAACCTTAGGCAGGAATATGTCTGAAAGGAAAACAATGAACCGAGGTTTTTACATACCACAAGACCTGTAATGGGACCGCAGAGCCAGATGAATGAAGAAAAAGCATGTTGTATACCGAGTGTCTGCAAAAAGTAAAGAAATGAAACAATTTCATAAGAAAGAAACAACGAAATGCTAAGAAAACAACATGATTAAACAAGGTTAACATACCCATCAGAAGCCATTGCACAAAGCAATGCAAATCGACCTATCAAAATTGCACCCAAAAAAAATAAAATAAAATTACCTGTATATAAGGAGTGAGAAGAGAAAGCTGCAATGCCCAGCCGAACTGAACGCCGGCAGCCACGGTACAACTGAGTATCAACCTCAGCAAACTACTGTGCTTCGACGGCTGGTTTTGGACATCACCGTTAGGCGTTGACGAAGGCGGCGGCGAATCATCATTACTCAACGGCAGAGCGGGAGCTGCATTCCCGGTGTTGCGGTGTCGGTTCCCGATCTGTAAACGACGTAGTTCAGCTTGATCGACGCCGACGAGCTCGACTTCTTGCTTCAAGTTCCTGTAAGGAACGCGGATCGAAACCGCGTCCATCTTGGTACCCATCGGCTCAAGCTCAGAATTAGGATTTCAAATTTGAAGCAAATAGCGGCCAAATAAGGAAAAAAAAAATGTTGATCGGATTATCGCATGTCCGGGAATAATTGTGTTTCTTTTAAAGCATGTCAGAATCAGGTCTATTAATTGGAAATTTTCTTGAAATAAACAGGTAGGAAGATCAAATTTGGGCGGGTTTGATGAAGATTGAAGAACTCGATCTTCAATTTTGTTGTTTGTGAGTTTGCAGAAGCATTTGTATGGTAATGGCAGGTGTCCTTGGATTCAAGTCAATATTGGGCTTCGTAAACTTAATCCTGGCCCAATTTCTATTTTGTCATCTGTATTTGTATAGGACGAAGAAAATAAGTAAATAGTACTAACAAAACTCATTAATTATTTGATGCAAATGGGAAAATTTTTCATGGGGAAGGTAAACTAAGCTTAATAACGAAAAAATTAAACTAATTCTAAAAGTGAAAAACCCCGTCTTAATTTTATTTTTTGGATACATACTTCATTTCATCATTTTATGTAGAAATTGATGATAAAAATAGAAAAAAGGGGCGGCCGGCTGACCGTTCCACGTATATATACATTGACGTATTGTTCGCAGGAAAATGAAATGACCGAACCGGACAGAGTTGGCGCGTAATCGGTTGTCCTGATTGAGCCTGAGGTCAGTAATGCCGGGTGGCTTTCGAACAAAGGAAGCAAAGAGACACTTACCGACAACAGCACAGTTGTTAAAAAGTCAAGTTCAAGCAAAGGTTTTTATTATGATCAGATGATGCAAACCTCGTAGTTAAGTGATAAATATGAACAAAAAGTCTCCCACAATATTTCCACAGCGTGTGATGTAAGCCTTGTTGATTGTAAAGACAACGAGTCAATTAAGGAGGCTTAACATAAACCTTTTCTAAAGTAGCGTTGCATTCAAAAAGAAGGGGGTTAAAGTTGTATGAATATGACCATTCCAACACTAATAAATTGTTCGCATTGCGGACTACAGGGCGCGGGCGCTACACCATAACCATTGTCAACCATTGTAGTATGAGTGGAACTTCGAAAAACCAAGTCATGAGGCAATGAACAGATATACCCTATGTACGGTCGAGCCTATAGTATATGCTAAGATATAGAGACTGACAAAGTACAGTGACAACATTTGCGATCATAAAATTCTTTATGTGTGGGCATTGCGGTTGCCCAGATCAGCAGCAACTTGGGCAGCTTTGCCTAGCGCCCCTGAAAGCCAAAATGCTCCCTTGGAGAAGTAACTGCTGTTAACCACAGCATTTGCAGCAGCGGCGGCTGTCCTGCCTGTGGCCAAGACAGCTGATTTTGTTGTATCTGTTACATGATACCGCTCGTCCACCGATTTAACTGCTTCAACTCCGGCAAAAATCTTATTGGTGAGCCCCATTTTCTCACTGAGTTCGGCAACCTTAGAAGCTGCAGTAGCCGACACCTGATGAGATTCATCAAAAGCCTTGGCTTGGCTTAATGCATCTTTGCCCAGTACATACCCCTTGGCTAGCATTGTCTTTACTACATCTTGAGCTAATGTGATGGCTTCACCAGCAGAAGAAACAAATTGATTTTCCGTGTGCTGTAAAGAATAAAAATAAACACAGGTATATCTCAGTAAGTCATAGAAACCTTTCTTGTGGCAATGAGTACTCAACAATAATAGCTAGAAGCAGGATTTACGCACAGTGGCACCACTTTCATCTCCATTATTCCATGTAGATCGATTCCAATAACCATATTCATCGTCAGTGTGACCCCAACGAGTTATGCAGACACGTTGATCCAAGATCGTAGCTCCCTGAACAGGTATATTGTTTAGATATGATGGTTGTGCTCGCTTCCATTTCAGTTAACAGGGAGGTAGAAGAAAAGAAAGCAGATGGACACAGTTCAAAACAGAGATATTACTAGTCAGGCAGGTAACAAAAAATCTTTAATGAGACCCAAGAGTAACTATAGGTCTCAGATCAAGCAACACTTAAAACTCTCAATTCGCAAATGGCCGGCAAAGTCATATCAATCCAGGTTTCAAAGCACACAAAAACCAACTTAAACAAAATCGCAACAAAAACACAGCATCTTAAAGCCAAAATGAATTCTTTAAGAGGGAAATAGACATGAAAAAAAATTCCGCAATCATTCAAAACAAATGAAAAAAAGAAAGAAACACGCATGAGACCTAGGAATATTTCTATGCAAGCCCACACGAGAAGAGAAACTTGTGCAAAGAAACCCAGAGGAAGCAACACCAATATGCAGCTTTTGAAGATCTGGAAATCCGCAGCATATGGATGAGCAATAAACTAGAGCTTACACTGAGCAAGACTGCTGTCTCCAGAGCATGAGGACTGTTGAACGTCACATATGCAGTGCTTGCATATTCACCAGCTCTGTTTTCCAAAACACAGCATGAGAGCCATTACTTGGGGAAACACAGATATCTTATGGTATAACTCCCAATGAACACTACAGCACATAGTAACAACTGAAGAACTAACACAAAATCCAAGAATCAATAACCATATTCAATATGAGCTCATGCAAAAGGGTCCAGAAGATGGGCAATTTGGAGAGCAAGAGGTCAAACCAGAAAAACAGGATGGTGTTGTCATGTTCCAATCCAAAATAATGATTTGCTAAACTTTTCAAGTCTGAACTTCGTCAACATTACTCTCGTGACAAAAACAACGCAGATACATGTTCAAGTAGCCTTCATGCATTTCTATAGACAATAGAAGAAAGTAGAAAATTGAACCTGACGATTTCAACGTGTTCAATTTGCCCGCAGAAAGCAAAGAAGTCCTGAACATCCTTCTCTGTTGCATCTGGGGATAGACTAGTAACCTCTGCAGTATAACCTCCAGGATTCATACCTGTCAAACCCGTCTGCACATAGAAATAAACTTTCTAAATAAATCTAGTCCAAACTCAAAACTTCCATACAATACATAGAAAATGAGGTACAGAAAAAAGGAGAAGCCAAAGCATCTCCTATCCATATATGCTGATAAGAAAAATGATCAAAATAGCACAAGAATTCACTCTGACATCACCACTGAGTCAATGAATAATCATCTTATACAAGATCCAAATTAAATAACATGAAATTTGACACAAGACCAAAACAGAACCAAACATTTCACGCAGAGGCACAAACAAGCACACAGTCATCAAACATTTAGGCATCCTGATGAAGAAACCTAATTGAAAAGTATAAAGATTTTCAAAATATCCCTTTTGTAAGTACCCCATTTTCACCAAAAGGTTATCTCCTTTCTCTGGTGTCTGTCTTCCATATAATCCCATCATTCATTATAAAGCGGAACTTAAGGTGAAGGAATACTCCTAAGCAGCAGATCACATAGAAATCCCCGACAGGATAACCTAGGGTTTAATATGGCACCCAGAAAAGAGTTCAACTCGTAATCATCGCCATTAACTACCCTCAATAAACTCATCAAGTATTGGAAAATTTCAGTAACGTTCAAATTAAATTCTACTCCAACCATCTTAGCGAATTAAAAAAAAAACCTAAAAGCGAACAATTATTTAGCAAATATTTGCAACAAATAGGGGACACGGAATATACGGCAACATATATACTCAATTAAACACAACAGATTCTTCCATGCAATTTCTTTTTTTTTCTCAGAATAAAAATGAAAATCAAAGAAAAACATGTAGGATTGTTGAAGTACCTCAGAAACTATGGATGATTGAAGAAGACGATTCAAGAACTGTAAACGAACACAGGAATTTTGCCTAACTTTTTTTATCGTACGTATAGAGCTATGTACCGGGGGGGTTTCCCTCTCTTTAGGAAAGCAACTTCTGAGATGGAATGATGAGATGAATCATCCCTATGAAAATGGAAATCTAGAGGACCAATTAAAATCCAGAAACAATAATGGACTGGAACTACGAAGAGGCTTAGCCCGTTAAAAGCCCATTGAGTTTTAAAGGGCTTAGCCTCTCTAACATTGGATCAGTTTGGTACTCTGTTTCTCCAGCCATTTGGTTTCTCTTCTTTTTTCTTCCTTGTTTTTTTTTTTTTCTCTAATTTTGTTTTTGTTCTTTGCATATTGACGGTCGATGTATGTCCATTCTGTTTTAATAGTTTTGAATTAATTAATTATTAAACAATATATTGGAAAAAGTAATAATTTGATCTTTTACTTAAAAAATTACACAAAATTTAGTCGCTTTTATTTAAAACCTGCCAACTTCGAGTAAGGAGCAAAACAAGATATTACTACGATAATATGGGCTTTACCATATTCATGACCATATAACATAGTTGTTGGTCAAGTATGTTATATGATTCCCATGAATGAATTCATTTTTGTGGTATAAGTAGCACATTTCAAAGGTGACAAAAAAGAAAATGCACACTAATATATACTCCCTCCGTCGCATAATTATTGTCCTGTTTGAGTTTTCATTTCTAGTTCAAAATATACTAAAAGTGAAATCTCAAACTGGACAATAATTTTGGGACAGAGGGAGTATCTTTATTTTATTTCTTTTGTGTGTCCGACCTACTTTTTATTTATGCATTTATATTTCAGCAGGGTGCTAAAGAACAAAACAACACAGCAATTTGCATCTTTGCATGGCTAGCTAATGCATGCATCGTATTACGTATGTAACACTCATTGCTTGGATTTCATAAAAACTACGCACAGACTATTCAAACAAATCATTCTTTTTATTTCAAAATATCGTGATATTATTTTCGGACAGAAGTCGAACGGTGTAAATTTCTTTTTTAATGTGATCAATAAACGTGCATTTGGACAGCGCGACTCCCTCTCTCAGAGTTATTTTGTAAACTAAGCGTAACGTTTCCTCAGTATGTAAGAAAATAAAAATAAAAATAAACCCGCATTTGCATAAACGTAATGCATGCATCTAAGCCCAGATGTTGCTTTCTTGGATTCTTCGTATTGACACCAAATGTTTGATTGTATTGTGCCGGACCGTACAGAAATACATCTGTCTTATAATTTTTGGGCTCCAAAAACAACATCCTACTATATATTATCTTCTTGGTCGGCCGTGGACGTCTGACCTAATATCGTTATGCATTTAGAAATACAGTTATGATAAATTTTAACATTATTTTCATAAACAAAATATTCAAATGATTTTACAAAGTATATTTGCCATTGTCGTGACGGATCATTGAGTTCCATAACTGCGTTTTTTTTTTTTTTTTTTTGACGCGATCACTATCTTGATTTAGGAATACGATAAACAAGTTAGAAATCGAATCGAGCACAAATAATTGTCTGCTAGCTAGTACTCCATTAAGTTTGGAAACATACAAAAAGCTTTAGTGAAAGCATTAACTTACTTTTATTAATAAAGTTGATCTATGCAAAAAAAAAGTACTCTACCAAAAATTAAAAAAGAGTGATTATGAGCTACTAGTAGTACATTATTATATTGATAAATGATGGTTGGAGTTGAAGAACTAAACTCCTTCCTAATAATATATAATAATAATTAAGCTGCTGGTTGGCCTAGCTAGTGTGACCAGACCCCTAGTACGTACTTTAATTTAGGATAAAGAAAATCGATCAAGAAGCTCCAAAATGATACAAGAAAAATATTCATAGTAATCTTTTCCTAATTAAATTTATAATAAAATAAAATAAAAAAAAAGCTACTAGCTAGAGGGATCATCATCGATCATCGATTTATCCTCTCTGCATGCATGCAATTTTTCCTTTTCTTTCCTCCGGCGAATATTTCAGTCACATTAATAAACTTCTAATAATGGCGGCCTGATCGCCGTCGGTATTCTCTAACAGTTCCGCCAATCTTTCGCTCAAATCGTCCACTTCTCTGTGCAAGTTTCTTATGTAGTTGCATGTTTCTTGTAGCACTTTCGAAGCAGACACCTGGAGGCACAAATGATTCACGTCAAATTTTTAGCACTTTTTTTTGGGTAAATAAATGTATAGATACTGTGTGTTGTGAGGTGTTGTGCGTGTGAAATTATTATGAAAACAAACAAAAAAGTCCCACATATATATGTCAAAAACCAAAATAATCAAAATGCAGCAATAAATGCATTTGTGTAGTATTGTGGTCTAGTGGGTTTGAGTCATATATGTATATATATATATATATTGGATGGATGACCCAAAAAATTAAACTTATCCCAAAGAGAAAATAGAAACCGAATGAAGGCCACACAAAAAAAAAAAAAAAAACAGAAAGAAAAACAAAATGAACGACTTTGATGATGATGATAATATAGATAGAAATAAGGTATAGGAGTAACAATTTATGTATGTCTTGGTATATAGCTAGTGTATATACTTCCAAAATAAACTGATGTCAGTAACTAACAAACTATAAGAAATGAATGGGTTGAGTTGAGTTAGTTAGGTTAGTTAATAGTATGTAGTACAACAACAAAAAGATGGTTTTTTTTTTTTTTTTTTTTGAGTGTGTATAAATTTTTACCTTGTCGGAACGCCTCCCACGAAGTTCAGGAATAAGTCGTTGCAACTTGGTGACAAGATCGGCGATCTGGTCGTCGCTTATCCTCGAAACTCCTGACTGCCTCGAACGTGATCTTCTGCTAGACATTGTCAGAAATTTTTAAGGAACAAACTGGATGTATAGCTAGCTATAAGAGATGGGAAGAAATGAGGATTAAGAGAGAATGGAGATTATTTTTTTATGTTGTTGTTTGTCAGGAGATGAGGATGAGAAATGAGGAAACAAATGATGAAGCTGCAAATTGTTCTTGTTGTAGAGTGATGATGAACTGAGTCAAAAACTGAGTGATGGGATGGGCTTTTTATAAAAATGATGAGGGAGGGAGGGAGGGAAGGAGCTAGCAAACTGTGGGAGAGATGAGGACTGAGGAGGAGAAAGGAATGTTAGAACATAGGAATTTAATGTGGGTGTTTTCAGACAAGTTATGGACAGAGGGATAAGGGGAGGTGGCAATTAATAGGACTCTTGAGAGAGAGAGAGAGAGAAAAGAAAATGAAATTTTAAGAGAGGAAGGAAAGGGACACACAATGTTTTATAGAAATGGTGTTGGAAGTGATGAAGACAAGTGCATGGGAAGGGAGGCTCAAGGGTTGTTGTTGTATTAGTGCGAGTTTTTGAGTCTTTGTAAACAGATAAATTCACGATACCAACAAGCACTTAGTTCAGTTCGTAAGAATTATTTTAAATTGATTTTAAGAAATAACACTTATTTGATTCGAGTTCAAATTAATTTGTCGAGACAGTGATTTCAAAATATGTCTGAATCTATATGTATTATATAGATAACATAAAAATAGGAGAAATGGAGGAGGAGGTAGGGAGAGAGGGAGAGGAAGAGAGCCATACTGTCCTTCTCAAATGGTGTCTCCATACTGGGGTTAGAGTTCAAGTGGGTTAAGAAAATTTTGGTTGTGGTATCAGCCAACTTTGCGGGCCTCTTTGTGTCAGGCTAAGCACGCCAGGCCATGTGTTCTCCCCTATTATCTTTCTTGTCATTTATTATGTATGCATATATTAACTCTATTGTATTACCCATTAATTATCAAATTAACCCATCTGTTTTTATTCTTATTTTTTCTGAGCATTACTAGTAGTGCCACTGTAGGACTTCTACACAGTTGAAGGAGGAAGGTGTCATCATATGGCGTGATCACGATGGAGAGTATCACAATATCAAGCAATTAATATAGTGTCAGTATAGGATACCGGCTCAATATATTTATCCCAAAGATCAAGAATTTAAATTGTGATGTAATTTTGTCATTTTTACCCTAGTACGGATGATAATCCTATTGATTAGTTAAATATTGTGGTTTCGCTGTTACCAATCAATCTGGCACTTGCTAGATCCTACCCACCTAAAAATTTTGCCTTGGGAGTAATCAGAAGGGTAGGAAGGAGTATGGCATTGTTGACCACTGACCGCCACCATGCATTGGATTTATTAGTAAGTTTGGTCTTCATTCATTCGTATCTCATTTTAACCTTTTGCCGGTTTGCCCCAAAGAATTTATAATTACTACGAACTACGTACTACAATCATCGGCTTTAGCCCCGTGATTAAGCTATAATAATCACGAAAAATCGTATTCGACGCATTAATTTCTTTTACTAAAATTCCCCTTAGTTACTACTACTGATCGCAAAATGTGACATTGCCTAACATATAACTCGAATCACACTAGTACTACTGACATTGCTACTGATCGGCAGTGATTGTTTAATTAAAATATGGGTGTCTGGTTGAAAATGGTCGGTAAATAATCAAGATGAAGTCTTCGAGTATGGCAGAGAGTATCTAGGTTAGTTTAATTTTGCGTGTGCATTGCTAATATCTACTAAAAGAATCTCAGTTAACAAGGAAGAAACATTGAAAGAAGGTCCTAAAATGCTTTTTGTTTGGTAGTAAGAATATTACGTTGTTGTTGTTGTTGTTGTTACAAAACTACAAATTAAAGCCTAGAGAATAGAGACTAGAGAGATCGAGTTGATTGGAAGACCTAGCTAATTTTAAACAACTTAGGGTATAGTAGCTTAGGTGAAAGAAACAGTGGCATAGGAGTTACTGGTGTTTTGCGTATGGCATCGGGGCATTACAATGGTGCCGCACGTGATGGGAATATGTTGCAATTTTTTCCGGCGAGATTCCTGCTTCGTGAGCGAGCTACTACTAAGCTAATGCTCTTGGTGGACAAAACTTCTTCTTTTTTTTTTTTAATAAAATAAAATAAAATAAAAAATCAAGCTTGGGAGTTGCAGATGCCACCCTAATACTACAAGATTTCAATCTAATCACCTTCTTTATTTTATGTTTTTCTGATGTACCTTTTGATACGGTGAGGTCACTGGTCCAGAGGGATTTTTCTTTTTTTTTTTTTTGTTAGAATTACTAAGTCGTTCAGAGGAATTAAAATATTTTATGAGAAAATTTCGCCTCCTCAAAATGGCTTATCCGGCTTAAATCGAAATTTGTTAAAATAATAATTTCGAATACAAGATGGGTAATCTAAAAAAATTAAGAAATGCACCCTTATAGGACGCTACATGTATAATGTATACAGGTTCAAGTTCGGCATCCTCATGAAATATGACGGAGTCAAATAAGTCATATAATTAGCAACGAACTCATCTCTTCGAAGACATGTTTTCACCATGAATGACCCATTTATGCTTAGAGTTGCCTTATTTCTCCTGCATTTTAGTAAACCTAAAGACACCAACATGCAAAATGATAAAATGATGTGCTGTAAATATATATATATATATATATATATATATCGTAAAAATGAGACAGTGAATGATGTGACGTAAATGTAGTAGGAACCATGGATCCAAGATGCAAATGAATCAATGATGTAGCTGAATTAGGCTTTTCTTTTGACTATGGGAAACTGGTCCATAACTTCCGATGAAGGCGGCAAGAAACCAGTGTCTATTAATGGAATTAGAAAGTCTACTTTGAGTATAGAAGAGAGTTTTTTATGGAAACTACATGTTGATCATTAAATAATGACACTTACTAATTACAAACATTAGGTAATAATAATTGATAGAGCCTCCCGTAAACACCAACTAGCAAACCATGTTGGGAGTGCGAAGTTATACATTCTTTGAAGGCCAGGAATTTTAAGTGACGAGGAAAACTGAACAGTAAGAGAACACATGATGATCATGAAGTCATGATGACCGTCCTCAATAATTGCTCATTGATTGGGAGAAGTGGGGAGTAAAGAATTATAAGTGCATAAGTTGTTCGATGAGATATAGATGTTCACATTACAAAGTTTTTTCATTTTTATTTTTTACATTCTTTTTGTTTAAGATCAAAGGTATGATTTAACCAAAAAGAAAAGAATCAATGGTATGAACGAATTATGCTTAATATTTATGCAGGACAAACAACGGCAGGAATATATATAATCCAATATTCGAAGCGTATTTGTTTAATTTATTAAAACTATGGAACTGAACCATGATATAATAGGGTAACGTATTTCTATAATGTAACAATCTAATTGTAAAGTGTGAGTTTCTCTTATTGAGTTAATTAACTAGTTGTTGATTAACATTACGAACGAAAGCTTGAAGTTCACCGACAAAAGCATTAATTCCGTCGAATCATTTTAGATGCAGATAAAAGATTTCATACTTTTTGTATCCTTTTGTGGGCAAGTAATTAATTAATAAATCAGTTCACAACCACGAAGGTATCGATCAATCCAGTTGTTGTTGCCTCCAGTATAACACATAAAATAATCTTTACTATGACAAAAACAAGCTGCGATTTTATTTTTTGATTAGCTTGTGGCTGCAGTACTCTCTCGTACTATATTTTAATTATTACATTTTTAATCAAGAATTTGTCCCTTTTATAGGTTGATCCAACTGGTATACACATAATCATAGTACGTCGCCTTACATCTTAATGAATGATCATTTCATCATTCGAGCTGTTATATTAGATTCCGTCTAATATAATAAATCCAGGCAGAATCAAATGAAAATATATATATAATTAAAAGGGTACGGAGAAAGTTGAGTCAACTGTAGCATTTGGAAAAGAGGAAAAAAAAAAAAGAAAAAATTCAATCATTTTCATAGAAAGAGATGGATCGCAAGTCACCACTAAATTGTACTTTTGCATGCGGGAAAAAAAAAATTTCAGTTCTGTTGCTGCTCAAATATAGGGCGCCCGCGCTATATATATATATATATATATATATATATATAAATTTAATCATTATTTTTTTAAAAAAAAAAAAAGGATGAAAATGTAAAAGTTAATCTCTTTATTGAGAAATATTTGGTTGGGATTCGAAAAGAAAAAGCTGTGTTGTAGCTAGGGTTTCCTTTTTCTAGAAGTACATTAGCAGTTAAAAAGATCCCATATGATCACCGGAGATGAAATTGAGGGTATTATTAATTATGAGGGATCGTGGATGGTTTAAAATAAGGTTAATTTTCTGAAAGATTTAGATTTTATGGGGGTTGGAAAAGTCACATGAGCTATAGCTTGACCTAAGTATGTATACGTGATGAAAAAGAAAACACAATGGGTTAGGAAACTTGGGGATTTATATTCCAGTTGTGAACACAGGACGATGATTTTTTAATTTCTTTGTTTAATTATTTTATATATTAGAATGCAGATGTGTGTGTGTGTGTGTGTGTGTGTGAGAGGCAAATAATTCAGAAGATCTTTCTGGGCAGAACCCACATTATCATTTAACATGGAATCATAATTATTTGCATGTGATCATCCAGCCATCTTACTAGGTTTAATTTACAACCAAGAAATAATTGGTCTTTTAGTGTATAATTTACTAATACTTATTATGACTTCTTAATTTGACTGAATAATCTAATGAGTTTCAAGTATATCTCCATCAATTTATTTATTTTTTTAATATCTCAGTTCTCACTCACCAGTCACCACTCCCGCTTCGATCTGCATCACAAAGAACCACACGCACACACAAACAATTAGGGGAAAAAAGAAGGAAAGCTAAAGATATGAATTAGGGTTAGTTATACATATATTAAGAAATTCGTATATTAGGTGAATGGATAAAGAATTTCGGAGATATTAATTATTATATTTTAAGCAATTTTATGTAGATGTTATTTTATACTGTTTTAATTCAACAAATACATACTACTCTATTTCTTTTTCTTTTTTTCTCTTTTTTTTTTGTTTTTTAGGTCGAAGTAGTGTCTATTTTCGTTCAACAAATATTACATTTTTTGTTTTTAGACATGTAAATATTCAATAGAGCTGGCCATTAATTCTGCTCTAGCTGCTATATCTTTCCAAATCACATACTACCATTTTCTACTGTACGTATTGGATTTTTCGAATAGAAGAAATTTAACTTGCATTAATGTTTTGTCTGAATTATCTGGGTGTTGATCCGCAAGACAAGCTGAACAGAATAGCCACGCGAAGATTGGTGGTTTGGTGGTTAGTTTTATACCAAGAGATAATCATTAATACTTTTGTCACGGTCCAAAATAATTATCCTGTTTTATATGTTGATCGTGATTAACGGACTTTAAACATTGGAAAGCCTGTGTACATCTCCCCCTTCTTGGTTTCAAGTAAAATGCCCTTGAGTCAAGTGACTCAAGTAGTAGTAGTAAATAATCATAGGACTATTTGCATGATGAATGTCTGGGAGGCCATGACAAGCCATTCTGCTTTGTCCGTTGCCCATTCAATTGCCAATTGGACCTCCTCTTCTTATTGTGCCCTTAAAGGAAAGACCACTTGACTATTCCTTCCGATACATCTTCCACCTATATGACCAAATCCCATATTTGATTCAGGCTTCCGTGTTTTCCATTTTGTTTAATCTACCGACATTCATCACGTGACCTTCACATAATACATTACATAATTCGCCCCCATCATCCTATTTTCAAATTCGGAGTAAACTTTTTACACGAAACCAACTGTCTCTTCCGTTTCATAATAATAGTCACATTTTCAAACCGGTTAAAGTCTAATAACGGCGGCGATATCATCGAATCTTGCAAAATATGCTAAATAATAGTTATCCAAAAGGTTTGAAGTAAGGAAGGCCATGCCTTAGGAGGAAAGACTTTGAAGAAGTGTGATTATAGTATACATTTGGGGGGCGGGCACAAGAACGATGTGGTTCATGTGTTGCTGTTGATATGCTCCCCTTTATTATTTCATGTGACCAAGTGCTCTTTTTGTCTCTCAGAAAAAATATTTTGTAAGTCATTCTTAAACACAATGGGGAGCCCAACAATACATGTAGTTGAAAACAAAACTAGATACATTTTTGTCAACCGTGGCCCATCCTTAGACCCACATCTGGCCTCTTCTACGACTTGGGATGTAGAAATTTTTGTGTGTAAATTTCAGGCATGTGGTTTGTTCCCTCCCCCCCCTCCCCCCCCACACACAAAATTCTAGAGGTTGGCTTTAAGTTTTTGGTGCAATTTTTTTCTTTTTCTTTTTCTTTTTTTTTTCCCCTGCATCCTATGACTGCAACAACAGATTTTGTTGATTAAACTCCATGCAGCGATGAGACTTGTGTTTTGAATTGAATTCCCCACTCCCCGACGAGATGACCATCATCTATTATGATCATTGATTAAAGGTTTGTTTGTTGTTTTTTTTCCCTTGAATTTTTTCAAGTGGTCCTCTGTGCCTTTTTTGTGGTGTTTTTTTTTTTTTTTTTTTCTCAAGACTTCCTTTGGAACTTTCAAAATTTTGGAAGCTCTCGCTCCATGTTTTTGTAGTTGTTCGCTTGATGCTCTTTGGCAAAATTAATTGTCAGATTTAAAGCAATATGTTTGTATCATCACTCTTTAGGGCACGTTATTAAATTGTAATCACGAGATGAGCAATAATACACGAAAAGTATGAGCTTGAGGCTTTTAGAGTTCTTGCTTCTCAAGTTCATGATATGTGTTCGATAGAAATGATTCGCTATTTTAACTTCAGAACTGGTGTCTTCATCCATATTAACTAATACTCCCTCCGTCTCATAATTATTGTCCAGTTTGAGTTTTCACTTTTAGTACAATTTGTAATAGAAATTAAAACGCAAACTGGACAATAATTTTGGGACGGAGGAAGTAGTTAGTAGCTGAGATAGGACTTGTTTCTCAAGCTTTCATGAAACATGGGACTCCAAACAACATAGAAGCCGGATTTCTCAGCTTACAGTTAACGTGAACAGAAACAGAAAGGAAACAAACAAACTACTTTTAAGACCAATCACGCGCACCGAAAACGGTCCCTGGTAGTAGTATTAGATTCTAGGAGGTGGTAAAAGAGATAAGGTCCAAGATCTCAGATCTTCTATGATTTAAAAAAAAAGGAATGGTTACAGTACTAAGCAAGTTGCGCAAATGTACTGCGGTCACTTTTCGAAACAAGAAGAAGTTTCCTCTTGACCATGAACCCGCACTAGACTTCTCTCTTCAAACCAAATCACGGAACTCCATTCAGTTCAAATTTAGCTTCAGTAAGAGATTCCATGGCATTTTAAAGGACAGATATAGAAAATGATACAAGTAAACAAGTAGTAATTCAATCTAATTGAAACGGTGAACTGGCACTTTTAGTGTTTAGACGGAGCACGATGGAACATATGATCCATATACCCGGCCGGCCCTGTATAGTTAGTTGTATTTAATGGAACTTTTAATTGTTCAAAGTCAGACAGCTCCAAGGCTGTCTACTGATTTACGGATTTACATGATGCTTCATCTTGTCCTGACTCCTTGACTGCATCTCCTCCATTGTCCATATCATGATGGCTCCCATTTCTTTCGTCCTAGAAGACAAGAGACTAGAGCATCAAGAAAATTTCTGAACATTGTCCTTTCAAGTTGGGGTTGGACAACAACCAGAGAGCCCTATAGATGCTAATATTACACACAAAACCACATTCCCTTCCTAGTGCGAAGTAAAATTCCTTATATTACCGTACTTGGTAGTTATCTTCATTTTGTAATATGTTGAACTGATTATCTAAAATACCTCTACTAAGCTCAATCTATCATAATCCGGGAGTAGTCAAGGCTGACGACTAATGACACAAGCATCTTTTGTAGTCTGAACAAGGGATTGTAAAATTCAAGAAGGCTCTATTTGACAAAGACATTTGGCTGCTGTTACCATGATGGATCTCTTTCAAGTCCAAATTGTAGAATGAAAAGCATTTTTCATTAAAACACCAAAACGAAAAATACGAAGAAAAAGAAATATGACAAGCATATCTTCCAAAAGGAGCAATCTGTTAACGTTAGATCAGGATCACATATTGAAGCATTCAAATTTTCATTTGATTCGACCCATGTTCAGATTTCATTAAGATAACCTTGAAACTAAACCGTCAGAAGCAGACCCCATAGGTCGCTAATTTTACAAATGTCACAAAGTTTGCGAGATACTGGTCAGACAAAATCTAGACATGAGGTACCAGGAGCAATGACTATAATAAACAGAGAATCCACTATTATCTTCATGATATAAGATCTGACAGACATATTCACATTAGTGTAAGATAGTCTTTCACCTCTATCAAACACAACTAAAGCAATGACAGATGGCTTGACCCATTATGTTTGAGACAGTAAACAAAACTACAAGTCAATTCCGGGGCTTGCAGTTGTCACTGTAGAAATACCTCACCCCACAACTATTAGAACCAAGCAAGGGGAGAAAGACAAAATTTGACAAACCATTATCAGTAAAACCAAATGAGCCACGGAGACATGATGCTTTAAACGTAATCAGGAAGAGTAACGATACCATACAGTGACATTATCTCAGTGACTTTCTGTAGTGCATGTGGCATTCACTTATTGGTGGTCAATATGATGATAATAAATGTGTTATAAACTTGGCCAATAGTTGAATGTCCCATCAGTTCCTATTGAATGCCACCGAGATTTTCTCAATAAGTATCAATATCCATGAGCATATATCATGTGATATTAAGTGATATTATAAAATTTTATACTGCAGCCACTTAACAGATTTTGTTCTTTTCATGTCTGCAAAGCATGTGTTACACCTGAACATGTCAGTGTAAGAATAGTAAAGAACTCACCAGGGGAAGACTTGTTGACAAGTTGTGTCCACTATATTGAATGCATGTCAGTTCAAATTCAAAAAACCCCACCCAAGCTTTAGAAATAAACACACATGTAACACTTTCAATTTGAGTAAAATCTTGAAGCATCTTAGAATGAGAGTACAAACTTCGCAGATTCATAAATTAGTACTAAATTAATCTCTCATTGGCCAGTTACTGGACTAGAGAACTTACAGAAAATATAATGATCCTGTCGTGATCTTTCGTACATACTTTAAGGGAAGCATTTCATTCTCTGCAAAAGATAGGTGAAATACTGAAATTTGTGTTCAAAGGAAGAATAACATTAGTCTCTCAATGAATAAAAGTTTGAAAAAGCAGATACCTGTTTTTCAATTTCAATAGCAGACACTGCAAGCCTCCTTTTCAAAACAGATCTATCTTGTTCACATGTTTCCATCTCGGTGTCTAAAGGGAAGAGGGAAGAACAAACACCACTAAAATTTTAAACATAATAAAACAAGATGCTGATAATACTAAACAATCATGGGAATAAAACACATTTGACTGAATTGAAAAATGTAATTTGGTAATTCCATCAGGAAGTACAACAAGGCCAATAGAGTAAAATAAAATTTCACGAAAAAAAACAATTGGATCGTTAAATTCTTACCGTAATAATATGATGACAAAATGGTAATCCGTTCAGTTGGCTGGAAGTTTCCAAAATGAAAGAATTAAGTTAAACGAACAAGATAAGAGTAGAAAAGAAAGAATGAGATGAGAGCCACAGGTTGAGTCTTTGACCCAAAAAAAATGCTATTATCACATGATCAAGGTTAAAGTTAGAGGATAAAATATATACAAAACAGAGGATTATTTCATGAAGAGAAATTGTTCCAACAACTCAATGCACTAAAGGACGATGCAAACCAGTTTAGATCAGTGAACAGCTGAAAGATATGATCTATTTTCCAAAGCAATAATAAACCCTTCATTAAGCAAGAATCTCCTTGATATAGTTAAAAGATCAATGCTCCAATCATAATTACTCAATAAGTTAAGCCAAAAGCGTAAACTGAAGAGACATGCTGAAACAAAGATGCACCCTTCTTACATCATTTCCAGCCTTTGCCACCTTCCCATATCAAAGAATGTATATGCATAATAAATTTAAGGCAAAAGCATCAAACTACAATGTAGAATTGAAGCAAGGAAATCTGAAATTTTGAGAGTGAAGAGTTTACCATAACGAAAATCCCTTCACGGCGAGTAGGGAGTTCCTCTAATTTCTTTAATGTTTCATCACCCTTGGTGACTTTTCCGAATACTGCATACTGAATAAAGAAGGAGTAACTTAGTTGAAATGAAACATATAGATATACGGAATTGACAACTAGAAAAGGCAGGATATCCTTTAACATACTTGTCCATCAAGATGAGGTGCATCTCCAAGAAGTATTGAGAATGAAGATTGAGCACTGTCTGGGTCAGAGTACCTGGAGAATCACATCCAAATACATTTATGAGGATCCGTGACTTGGTAATCTAAAATTTGTAATGGATAGCAATCAAATCCACAAACAAAATGCAAATACATTTTCAACTCTTACTAAAGCCTTATAGAATCATATCAAGTCCCATTTACGCCAAAACAACATTAAGCGGGCAACAGTTACCACCATTCTATATATCCAAGTTGCAGTGGAATGAAATTAACTACTCTCAGTCCCATATTAATAAGTCCACTTTGTTGAAGGAGTATTGATACGGAACGGATGGAGTATTTCACAGTTGCCACTGCAAGTTCGCAAATGACTACCTAGCATCAATGCTTTGTCAAAACAATATTACCTTCCCATAGATAGAATTCCTCTTACATGCTTGACATCACTAAATTCACCCTTGAGAGTTTTTTCAGCTTCTGTCCTTTGCAGCTCATTCATTGGAGCACTTCTCCCTCCAGCAACATCTGCCACTTGGGCCACAAATCCCTTGTCAACCTGCAGAAACACAGTAAAAACAATCATATAAAGATAAGCACATAAGCCTCTCATTTGATTTGATCAAAATTAGGTCAGTTTATCCACAGAGTACCCTAAAAAAGTGATTGGTGTTATAGCATCCCAGTCTAACAAGCTTGAATATATGTTCAACCGTCCTTGGGGCAACAGTTGGATAGAAGCCAAATTCAATATCACCATAATTCGTCTGCATTCAAAATATGGCCAATCAATTTAAAACACCCCTATATCTAAAGCCAGGAATATAACCTTTACTGGCTAGAGATTCTCATTAATCACATTCCACTAAACAAATTCACAGAGAAACGACGAGAAAAACATGAAATAACTTTTGGAACACAAGATTACACAAAGTATAAGATCATGGCATTTCTAACAGATGTGATCACATCTTATTCCTGCCTGTTACTAATCACTCTTAATCTATAAGGCACACTGAGAAACATTGTCCATTTACTACTAATTAAGAACACTCCCCGAAATATATCATTTATCATTGCATCGAAGTAACAAATTAGTTCATGCAACAACAGATTTCTGGAAATTAACAAAAATCAAGTCTATACTACAGAAGCCAAAAACTAACTAAATTGGTTCTCGATCCTCTTACAACCGGAGTCAACTCTGTACAGCAATTAACTAATGCAGTATTCCTTAACAACAAATCCCAAGTGAATAAGTTGCATTTCATGATCAACATTGAATCTTAGTTCAGAATACAATGAAACCAACAAAAATCATCTGCTTGGAGGAGTTGGCCCCAAATCACAATGATGTTTTTAGAGAATTTGACCTGAAATACAACACGAGCAGAACCCATCTGAGGTTCTAAAGCAACAGCAGAACTCATTGCCCAGAAGAGAAGGCATGCTTGAAAGGCCAAAGGGATCAACTCCATTTCCCTTTTCCATCTTCCTGTCATCCTTTGCCCGGGTTTTGACTCTTGCAAATCCGTGATTTGCCTGAATTTCCTGCTACTAAGTTGTTTAAACGTTTGTCCCAATTAATTTTTTCTTTCTTGCACTAATGGTCCCAATTATTAACTCCAGCACTAAATGAAAGCCCAATTTCTGTGAGCTGTATTCTGACTTTGATGGCTTAAGTTGCAGATCAGTGTGGAATGGTTTTGTCGGGCCAATATCATAAAACCATTTTGAAATGGACCAAGCCCAAATAAGCTGACAGGAAAATTCCTTTCAGAACATTTCAGCCGTAGATCTTACGAAATTTTTAAAATTGTTTTTCCCCTACTATGTGTTAAACCAGTGCGATGCACGGGATTTATTTAAACACAATACAGTTAAATCATCGAAAAATAAAATTGTGACAAACATAAATGATGTTAATGAATTGTGATAGTATATATGATGAGATTAAATATAAATTATAAGAGCTACTTATAAATATAAAAATAATGTAACGTTGAATTAAATATTGCGTAAACTGTAAAAAAGTTAAATCTTAATGGTGATGAAAGTAGAGGTCGTATTATGTTTTATAATAGTATAGAAAAAATTAAATAAATTAATATTTTACATAAATTGAATTGATTAAATTTATAAGGACTTTATTTGTTGTTACAGAAATTTTTTTATTTTGAATTCATAGAATGATGCCACATATGATTTTTTCCTATGTGGCACTCTAGGAAGGATACACCAATTTTTCTCTCTGGTTTCTCCTTTATAATCTTTCATATATATAAAAAGAATTTTTCTCCCAATACACGTATCGTTTCATTAGGATATCTATTGGTTTAACAGTAAAATTTTAAAGTAAAATAGTTAATGTTATAACTTTATCTTTTATAAAAAACTGACAGATCAGCCTAATCAGAAATGCTAATTCCACCGGCCGGCGTTGTATCCATTAGTGTCTTCAAACCATAATCCATGTCTCCGCCGGTGTTTAATCTCTTACGTCGTAAGTATCTTTGAACCATATTTACGCCGACGCCACCTGTCTTCGGAGACAAATTTAATCCGACCTTCTTTCTTTTCCGACGGCCAATTAGCATCAATCTGGAAGATTTTCTCGATGGAATTGAGATTTAATCCGGCAATCTTCCTTCTTCGGCGGCCAATTTGCAGCAATCGGGAAGATTGTTCTTGATGGAATTGGATTTTTCTTTCGTGTATACGAATAACCCCTATAGGAAAAATGACGGTGTTAATTACCTGATTTCCATAAATTCCGCCGGTGTTTTTATGATAACTTCTATTCCATTGAAATGATTATGGATGGATGGAATATTACTTAAATTTCGGAAAATCCCCACAATTAACTTTCAAAAAAATACACTCCCAATCTAATTCCGTAACCGAATGTAATTATTACCCCCGAAAATAATTTTCGATTGTTTTAATTCACTCAACCCAGTTATTCTGCTAATTCTGCATTACTGATAACCCGTCTTTTAATTCCGAATACTAATAACCCTTGCCGCTCCCGTTCATATAGGATATGCACTCTTCCGGAAAGAAATCTGTTCAAATCGCATTGAGACCAATTTTAGTAATAATTATAATCCTTTGGCTAAATAATAAAATATAATGAAGCCATTGATTGTGGGTTTGTTTATTTTTTTTCCTCTCCATTCCATTAGATTTTGTACTTTTTTGGTCCACCGTACACACTTTCAATGGTTCAAACTAGAATATTATACTCCCTCTGTCCCAAAATTATTGTCCACTTTGAGATTTTATTTTTAGCACAATTTGAACCAGAAATGAAAATCCAAATTGGACAACAATTTTAGGACAAAGGGAGTAGTTTTTTTTAAAAGGTACGTGAGAATATTAGTAAGGTTAACAAAAAATAAAAAGATTGGCTTTTTTTCGTAAGAAAAAATTATTGAGGGGATAGTATTTCAATGAAAAGATAATAAGAATAAAAAATTAAACATGATGATCTATCAATATCTTAATGTGTATGATTAAAAGGGGCACATGGTTTTTAATATCTCAAGGATTTTTTTGTCAGCCATTGTTTTTTTTTTCTTTTTTTAAAGTACATAGCCATTGTTACTGACCCAGTTTTACGACTTTTGGGTTATACTTTAAAGTAATTAGATCAGATTATTAATTCAAAACATCACTTTTCTTGGGAAATTATTCTCACATATCTCACACATTTAATGATTTGATAATTTATTAAACAGAGGGTAAAAAATAAATACATTCCGATAAGTCATCCACTCAAATTTGAAGCTTCCCCTTATCACATCGGCGGCTTAACAAACTAAACCCTAATACGCAAATGAATTGGCACATTATAACACTCATGCGCGCGTGCACACACACACACATGCGCATGATCACCCAACAATCATTTTGTCTTCGTAATTTTTTTAATTTATGACTCAGCTATATGCGTGTCAATTAAATAGTAAACCTGGTTGTGGATGCATAATCAACGTGAAGTTTCTTGGAGTAATCATGACCAAGTCGATCGTATGTTTCTTAAGGATGACATGGAATATTGAACAGGGCGTGCCAAATTCAAATCCATGATCCGAGCAGTGAAAGATTAAACTCGGCCCCAGTCTTTGTGCACAAGGTAATTATATCATCTTTCCACCTAAATTCGAATTCGTATTATTTTGCATCGTATCTTTCAATATTATGCAACTAACCTTTATGTTTTTTTTCTCTCTCACAAATCTACTGCTATGGGGATTAGGGATTGAGGAGAAAAGTGTCATTGAGATTTCTGATTGCGTGAACCCTTTCTATTGGAACCCCGCCAATGACACCAAAGTGATCGAGGTTCAATCATAGAATTTGATTCGTAGTCACCGTGGATGATGGAGTCATTTTGGCTTGCTTCACTTTTCGAATGTTCAACTATTGGCATTTTCAGTTTTTTCCATATTTTATTAATAGGTTTATATTATTATCGTGAGACCACTTGAAAATAAAATATTTCAATGCGAATTCAACTAATACTAAGACCTTTCTTTTTTATTTTGGTCATCTGTTGAATGTCTTTTGATTACTAATTGTACGTATTTTACTTATTGCTCCCTTTTTAAGTGTCCCATTACTTACGATATGATTCAAATCATATGGGGATGTTTGATCAGTCCGTTGAACAGACGGGCTGTTTGATCAAGTATTCTAGCGATGGTTTTGGAAAGTAATTATAGAGATTGCTCCCAAGACAATACCGGTTGAATATTCCATTATTAATTTTAAGGTATGTCTTTCTTACTTTTGAAACCCTCATATATATTTGATAGTAATTAGATTAGGTTTTTTTTTTTGAGATTTCTCTTTTAATTTTTTGTTGTGTTCAGTAGACTATTTGTTATTTGAAAAAATTACATCCTTTTGATCACTGATTTTGTTCCCCTAATTATCTCAATGTTGGCTCTCTCAATATGATCTGGAGATTCATTTTGATGTGGAACTTTTTCTTGAAATTTTTAGCAGCTTCTGGCATTTTATCAGGCCAACATAGTTCCTAAATTTTCTCGTGGTGTTTAAGATTTATTTTTTTTTTGCGAAATGGGAAAGCTTCAAGCTCTAGTATCTCATTAAATAGTGCTAAATCAAGCATATTAGGAGCTTGCTTTCATTTCTGATTTTTGGTCTTTTATTGAAACTGTTTTAGTTCAAAAGTAGTGGTGGCTAATGCTCTACATCATTTCAGTTTTTTGGTTGTTTGTGTCAGACTGAACGGGAAAGAAGGCGTGATGGCCATGGACCTGAACGACATGAGATTAAAAGAGATGGAAGATGAAGCGGCTGCTCCCCATGAAATGCATGCCAAACACGAGAAAGAAATCATGCGGAAATGTCAATAGGGCAACCATTCGAACTAATAAATAGGGCCAACCGCAGGGATATGCTTATATCGAATGTCTTAAAGTAAAAGTTGTATAAGATGCTCTAATGAGTCTGAGCTTAATAGGTAGATATTGATTTTGGTTCAACTGTAAGAAGCTCAACTGCTTGTGCAGTATTATCTAATTAATATGTTAATGTTGATTTTGGTTTTGACGTTGTTTGAGGTTCTATCAAAATGATCTTTTTGTTTATTTGTCATATTGTCAAGTTATTTCGAAGAAAAAATTCAAAAACAATGACTGACCGCGCAAAACACTGGCATAATACTAGTATACTATAGATAGATAGATAGCCATAATAGGTTTGTAGTATTAGTAAAATAGTTACAAATGACCTGAGTCGAAATATATGGTTAAACATCATTTCTCACTCACAAAGTTATGGAGAAGTAACGCAACTGATTATTTGACTTAAACGTTTTCAGATGTAAAAAAAGATAAATTAACAGGATCGTAGTTAAAACAAGACGTGATAATAGAATTCACTAACGAAATTAATTGATTTAGACTTTTGCCCTTAAAAAAAAAAGAAAAAAAAAATGAGCAAGGATGTGTTTTCCGGACTGTGTACATTTTCAGTCAAACAGAAAAATGTAGTCTAATTCTTGGTTTGAATACTTGTGGTTGTTCCATTTGAGCTACGAAACTTGGAAAAAAGTTGAGGCTTAATGGTGAGATATTATTAAAGTTATGAATAGTTTATGCGTATGAATTGGGTTAGAATATAACTTTGTCGAATTTTTCTATCTAGAAAAATGATAATTTATCATTCTATAGTATTTTAGGCTTTGGCTTCCTTTATTTTAAATTTATTAAAAAAAAAAAGAAAGTTCTACATTGCAAAAACCTTATTAATTTGAATTTCTGCAATTGTTTCCAGTTGCAACTATACATAACAATATTTTGTCATTAAATGTAGTGCATTATTCAATCTCAAAATGCCAAAGTTGACTTTTGATTTTTCAACAAATAAAGAAGAAAGAAAAAGAAAACAGTTGACTTTTTTGCGAGGGCTCCCCACCATTATGAACCCGATAGAAGCAGCCGGTCGGCGCCGGCTGAATACATAGGTATATGGTTAGACTTTTCAGAAGAAACAAAAGGAATTTCTCCATAAGCAAAAGGATGAAGTAGATTGACAGCAATCTATCTTGAAAACATAAAGTGGTCCTCCTCCTCATGATA